TCTCTGGTGACCAGAATAACCAATCTATAACACAATTTGATAGTTATTTTTTTTACTTAAGTGCTTTAATGCCTCCATTTCCTACATGATTAAATACTAGTCTGAAGCAGCATATGACTGTTTATAATTTTTCTCCTGCTTATTTTTCCATACTCATTTGTCACCACTTCCCCTCCCCCTCCCTAGCCATAATGACCTATTGGTATTTCCTGGAACATACCATTCTTATACATTCCTTCACAACTCAGTTCCTTTGGATATTGTCTGAAATGTTCTACTCTTCTCTGTCTGGTAAACTCCTCCTTGTCTTCTAAAATTTTCTGCCTTTCTGAAGTCTTTACTGACCTACAAAGGCAGAGCTAAACATTCCTTCCTCAGGACTTCCCTTGTCTCTGGCACACAGCTCTGTTTTAGCACCTACTGCAGTGAATTTTGATTATTTGAAAATCTGAGTTTCTAGAGAGCATGAGTCATGTCTAGTTGACTTCTGTGCCTTCAGGGCCTGGCACAGTTCTTCACAAATAGTAGGGTCTCAAATTTTCTTTGAATAATTCAAAATGCTTTTGAATAAAGAAAACATTTTTGTTTAAAAGCAGGAGGAACTTGTCAACCAGTTCATGTTGTTGATAATCTCTTGGATTCAAGATCTGATGTCTAAAGCATATTATATTAATTTCTTCAGTGATTTCACAAGTATTAATTGAACATCTACCATAAGCCAGGCATGGTAATAAAATGAACAGCAAAAATAGATATGTGCTTTACTGCTCTCATGTAGTTGAAAATTTATTGGGGAAACTGTTATGGCATTTGTACAAATTACTAAATAAAATAGAATATATTTCAGGTTTGGCTCATGATGTTAGTATAAGACTGTCCCTCACACAAGCTTTTCTGAAATATAAGGTCAAAGCCTTTGGACTACTTTTGCTTCTTTCATGCTGCAGGTTCACCTCTTGCTCTCCAGCATAGAAAAGTATTTTAGTTGACAAACAACAATAAATTAAAAAACGAACATGTTAAATAGTTGAAAATCTTGTTTTAATCCAAGCAAAACTTTGTCTTCAGAAATCTGAGGACAGTTGGGATACACATCAGTTATGTTACAGTTTACCAAGTGCCTTTGTATTTATAGCAGTATTTGGTTTTGCTTGTAGGAAAATCAAAGGAATGTACGGGGAGCATTCAAGAATCAACAATCACCTTTAGGCGGTGAGAGGTTATTGTAAAGTATCCGAGCAAATAAATGTCCTAGTCTCTTTGCCTAGAGCCAATAAGACACAAACTTCTATCTCAAGCAGTGTGACTGGAGGAATGAAAGAAGCTTGCCAGGTCTTGGCATTTTGAAAGTGGAAAAGGAAAAAAACAAAAAACATCATAGCTCTTATGAAAAATCAAATATCAGAAAGTTCAAACAAANGAAAAAAACAAAAAACATCATAGCTCTTATGAAAAATCAAATATCAGAAAGTTCAAACAAATTCAAACCAGGTTCCTACAAGTTCCTACTGTCCTGACATCTCAGTTGGGTTAGCTAAAAATCAAGGACAGACTTGGAGTGAAGCAGAGAAGTGATGTATAATCAGTTAGCTAGGTCCATTCAAACACATAACAGCCAGCATTACAGGGCCTTGTCTTCCACTCCAGCACCAAACTCCTCCCCCCTTCCCTTTACAAGAAGCCTCATGACTTAAACAGAAACCCTTTTGCTTCTGCAAGGGCACAGTTCTCCCTGGTCACATAGTTCCCACATTAGCATAATGCCCCTTCTTGATGGTATCAGCCAGCCCTTGGCACCGTATATAAGTTCTACCACCCCGACACCTGGTGCTGTCCCCCATTTTGAGGGCAGCCATGGGCTGCCATCCACTTTGGGCACAGCCCAGCAGATTCTTTTCCTTTAATAAAGCTTGATCAGTACCCGGCATCTTGGCTCACTTTCTTTCATTTTTGCTATTAGAAGAAGGCAGAAGCATGTCAATACCATGCAGCAAGTGATAAAGAAACTATCGTGATTTCACTTTGGAGAAAGGTGTGTAGCTTCTCCTCTGTGTTGGGCCCATTTTTAGGAGCAAACATTATCTGTGAGCCACATGGTGCCTATGGGTGGAAGATAAAGATGGCGCCTGCGGGAAGTAGGGGAGGCGTAACCCAAGATAGCTCCAAAAGGTTTTTATTGGCCCTCCAGTATTTCCTCACTTGTGAACCCTGTGTGATCGCTATGCTCAACATGTTGGAACAAAGTGCATGCCCACGTGATAATTTAATTGATTGGTTAGTTCATGGAAAGCCTCTACTTGCTTGCTTATATAAATTGCAGTGTAACACAATAAAGCGGAACTGCCCTGACAGAACCCCTGCCGTGTCTGAGTGTCTCTTTCACAGGGCTGGGTTGGTGGGCAGCAGGCTCACTGTTCCCCGAGATCCCTCAGTCCCAACACCAGGGGTAATCCTGTTGGCTCCTTCTCCTTCTGGGTCTGCGGGAGGACCCCAGGCGCCTTTTAGGTGGCATGCTGATGTGGCAGAGATATGCCACAAGGTTAAATTTTAAAACCCTCATTTTGAAATATAAAGAGATTACAAACAAAGCACAAGGCAAAATAAAATTGTGATTTCAACTTGAGTCCAAAATAGTAACAATCTCCTAAGCTGAAGCTAAGTTCCTTTGCTTAATAGCTTTGAAAAACGAATGAAGTTTATAAAAGTGATGGTATTCATGTAACAATTAGTCCACTAATGATATTTTTTTCTCTTTTCTGGGGGTCTCAGAGAAGACAGATAGTTTTCTTGATCATCTTTATATAAGTTGTAGGCCACGTGGAGCTTTCAAGGTGACTCTGTTCCTTCTGAGACTTAGGGAAGGAAGAAAAAGGGATAAAACTACAGATTATTTCATACCTTTTTAGTCCTAAACAGAAATTTATTTTGGCTTTCCGATAGGCTAGTTTTCCAAAAGAGGGTTTGGGCTTTAACCTAAGACCCCTCTGGAGCCATTGTCCTGTCCATTAAAGGCAACCCCAGGAAAGCTAGCATAGTGATACATTTCATCTACAAACTTCAGTGTAAAATAACTAGGCACAAAATTTTGGGTTCTCTATGTCATTCAACAGCAGCAAAATTTATGTACAAACGGGCATTTCTTTTCTCAAAACTGGGTTCTGTCCATTTCCTGAATTAAATTTATCATTGTGGTTTGGCTGTTTTTGTCAGGCAGAGCTGCAAATGTGATGAGGCAAGGGGGTTACTGCATTTGTTTAGTGGCCAGGCAAGGTTGCCAACGGGCTCATTTTGGCGCGAGAAAGGGGAGCAGGTCATTCCCACTCCCTCCCTGGATCATCCCCACTCCCCAAAACTGGGAGCGGATCACCCCCACTCCCTGCCAAAGAAGGAAGGCAGTCACTGTCAAGCTGTCTGCCACCTGCGACTCTGGATTTGATTGTTCCCATCAGACCTTCAAGAGACCTGAATGTGGTCGACTTCTTCATGTCTCCAAGCTTCCTGCAGATGGCAGAGCCCATGGTGGACAGGGCAGCTGACGTCTTCCGTTTCTCGTAGGCGTTGGAGACCTGAACATCATGCCAGTTCTTGGACAGATTCTGCCTCAGCCCCACCAAGGCCGTGAAGCCCTACTTCCTCTGGAGCTCCCCGCAGCGTCTCTCTTTGGCTGCCAGGGTGTGGCGTAGGGCTATGATTTCCGCCTGTAATTTAGAGAGCTCGGATTTGAGCTCCATTCGCTCTGCGACTGTCAGATACTCTGGTTCACAAGTCGGGTGGGACTCATACGTGCTCACAGAGGTCTCTGCCATAGCATCTGGCATGGCCTGGGAAAGAAGATCTTCGTTAAGGGAGTCCAGGTCCAATTCTTGGTAAAGAGAGTCGAATTCCTGGTCGGCGGAGAAATAATCTTGGCCGGCAGAGTCTAAATCTAGGTCCGTGGGCTCAGACCCTTGGCTAGTGGGGTTGGACTCTAGGCAGGGTGGATCCATATCTTGGCCAGTAGAATGGACGCCGGGGCCGGTGAGGCGATGTTCAGGCCTGCGCAGTGGACTCCTCCGCCCGCGGGGGCCCACTTCCGGTCGGTGGGGTGGGGT